GGAGTAGCAATGGGTAACAGAGTAGCAGTCACATTTGCTATGGTATTCATGCATACACTGATTTCTACCAAAGCCCTTGACATATATAGACAAAGAACAGGTTCAGTACTAGAAGTGTGATACAGATACATCGATGATATATTTGGTATATGGAATCATGAAAAAAAACAAAAAACAATACATCAGTTTTACTATTTCCTAAACAAATTCCACACATCAGTCCAGTCCACACTAAAACTACCCAATGCAGAATGATACTTAACGTTGTTAGAGGTAGCCCTAAAAATGCAAGACAGAGAAATACGGAACTCCATGCTTAACAAAGAATGTAAGAAGCCGATATTTCTCCATTACAAATCACATCACCCAGAACAAGTCAAAAGGGGAACAATAATAGGAGAATTAAAGAGAATAAATCTAATCTGATCCAAACCGAATGCCATTCAAATCACACAAAATGACTTTAAAACAATACCATTGCGAAACGGATACCCTGAATATTACATTGACAATGTTTTCACCTCACAAAAAAACAAAACATTACAACAGCAACAGACACCCCCCCCCCTAAAAAAATGAAAAACATACACCAAAACGCCCACAGTTAACATTCCTTTAATAACTAACACAATCGCAATCAAGATTTGTAAAACCATTAAACAACCCCAACTGGTAATCAACATAACGCAAAAACCAGGTAAAACACTGAAAGAACTATTAGTTTACTCTTCATTCTCATAAACAAAATGTGCCAGAAAACAATGCTACACCAGAGAAAACGGAGCAGGACTAATGTGCCACATCAAAAACCTAGCCTATCAAATCATTTGTAATATAGGTGGAGACGCATATATAGGAGAAACCGGAAGACCTTTTAACACGCGCTTCTCAGAACACATCAGCGTGTTATATACGTACGACCAACACAAAACCGCACCACTTCCTATATAAACATGGAACCCCAAACACAAAAAACCCTAATCCATTTACAGTTGCTATCTGACAAAAAAAAAACAAAGATTTTAAAGAGAGAAAATATATGGAAGTTATACTCATTGATGAAAAAAAATCCAAAAATGAACAGAAACAATTGGTGGTGCATGTAACTAAACCACCATTCAAAAAACAACACATCATACCAATACACTTGATACTATTACTTTCAGTTTAACACTGGAGTATCACAGAGTCTTGAAATTTTTGAACACTGCTAATAAACTTTGTATCCTTTCAACTTTAAATTTTTGTTTCTTAGCAGATTCTAGTTTCCGTCTGTGTTTTTTAGCTAACAATCAAACATTTTGTGATTCTCTTTATTTTTATATTTTATATAAGCGATATATATGTCATATGTTAGTATAGCTATATGTTAATATCATAACTAGAATACAGTATTAGAAGAATATTGAAACTAATAATATTCTATACATTGTTAGAAGTACGATACAGTAGACACGTCGCAATCTGAGGGTCGCGGGTTCGAATCCCCATCACAACAAACATGCTCGACCTTTTAGCCGTGGAGGTGTTATAGGTGACGGTCAATTCCACTATTCGTTGGTAAAAGAGTAGCCCAAGAGTTGGCGGTGGGTGGTGATGACTAGCTGTCTTCCCTCTAGTCTATCTCTGCTAAATTGGGGACGGCTAGCACAGATAGCCCTCGTGTAGCTTTGCGCGAAATTCATAACAAACAAACAAACAGTAGACACGAGAAATAGAACATCACAGACAGTTTTATAATTTAACGAATATTTTAATCTCAAATAGTTTTATGTACTAGCTCTGAAGAAGCCGAAAAGGCGAAATGTCTGCTAAAATAAATGTTCTCTTAATTATCTGGAGTGTAAAAGTAGTTTTTTAAACTTTATTATCAAAACTAGCAAAAATACCAGGTATAACTGTTAGTTTCTGCGGAAGGTTATTAGGCCTGCATTCTTTTCTGGAATTGTTTGACAGTTTTACAAAAATGTACTCATACATGACATTCAATAATGTTCACCATCCATGAGAAAAATAATTTTATTAAAATTTTAGTATCAAAATGAGCTATCATCACAGCATCACATAACAGAGTAGATTTTATTGAAGTATTTCTTTGTAGACACAGTTATCTATGAAAGTACATTGCTTTTCTGTTGCAACACTAATGAGATTTTCACTAAAGAAAACCAAATAATGTTTTTTTTTTAAGTTTGTTTTTTGATTGTTTTATATTTCAAACATGCTCCTTTTTGTTTGTAATTTTTATTGGTTTAGCCTGATAAGTATCGTTTTTGTGGAAATTTCAATTGTTTTATTTATTGTTCAGCTATAAAAATACTGCCTAGTTATAAAAATATTACCCAGTTATGATTGGTGATGATCGGTGCGGTAGTTTCCGAGATCCGTGTTTTGGATGTATACATCGCAAGCTCCATTATAATAAGATGTGTAAATCCCTCCAGTATGCACTAAAATTTTGCAATACAACGAAAAATTAGTTAAATGTTGCTATTTCCGCTCATATTGAAATATGTTTTCCGTTTATACTTACAAATATGTTTTATTATACACTTTTGAAATTAACATGAAAGAAGACAATTAAATAATACGAAACATATGAGATTTTACCTGACATAATTCATAATAAAAATATTAGTCAGAGTTAAAGATTTTAGTATATGAAAATAGTCGTTTTCTTACAATATTATTATATGTCACCATCTAACACTCGGCGATCGAAATAGTATCAAAATTATAAGTTATCGGAGGTTAGCTTAAATTTTATTTAACGTAGCTCGTAACAAAGAATCTAAACTAACGTTAATGTTTGTTGTTGTGAAAGCTAGATGGAAGGCAGCTAGTCAACAGCATCTTTCGATGCTGCTCTTTTCTGATTGAATAACAGTACTTCACTAACACGCTTATAGCGCACCCACGACTTCAAAGAGTAGAGCGAATTTTTGCGGCAATGGAACGCGAATCATGAACCCTCAGGTTGTATAGTCCGAATATGCTAAGTATTGGTCAATCTTGGCCTTTTAACGTTAAAGATGAGTTAGTATATTCTAAAAAATTTCTTAATATTTAACAGTAGAAAGAATTACATTGTTCACCTTTCTACAACAATAAATCTTTATTCAAATCTTTATTATGGTAATTGTTTTCTAAATTCTTTTGTATGTCTTTTGCATATAGTTATGTAGCCCACGTAGTGGACCAGTCGTAAACTTGTCACCGATCCTCTGGCTTACACAAAGGTTACATATAACAATGATTGTTCAGTTGGGCTTATATTTGCTTGACTCTGTTTCTGTGTCATATATATTTATTTTTTGATATTGTTGTTTGTTTCCCCGCCAGTAGTATTGGGTGTTATTATGTAACGTTGTCTCGACCGTCTGTTAGCCGGATCTCGAAATAAAAATAAAAATGGTAAAGCCTAGTATGTTTTTTTTCTATTTTACTTAACGTATCTCATAAAGAATGTAAACTGTTATTAAGAACAAATTGTTATACACACAAGAGATAGTGTTAACGTTATGATCGTATTATGTATTTTCCCAGTGGGATGCTATTCTGCAACATCGCCCTGACTATCTAAATGAAAATTATAACGTCTGGAAGGTTGTTTCGATTATGTTTAACGTATCTCATAAAGAAGAATCTACACTAATATTAAGCCCAAAGCTTTAGGAAATTCAGAGAATATACTTTTATTTTACAATTATATTATGAGTTCCCCCTTGGAAAGACATTGCACAATATCAGCCAACCACCTAAAGCTGGAGTATGAAATATATTAAAATGAAGGAGCCTAGAACGCCATTTTTGTTTTTATTTAACGTATTTTATATAGAAGAATTAACACTAACTTTAAGCACAATTAAACTATTCAGGAAATACACTTCTATCATATAATATTGTTATGTGTTTCTCTGGTGGGAGTTTATTTCGCAGTAAGACTCCAACTGTCGTTCAAAATTCAGTAGTGATTGATGCATTATTTTATGAGAAAAAATATAAATTTATTATTTAGCTTTAGTATTGTTAAATATAGTACACCTTTATTGATTGATTTTTACATTAAAACCTTTTTACATATCCTAGTTGCAAGTAGCTGTGTTATTATTAATTTGGTAGTTATAATAAAAATATATTCATTTTACTGGCAGAAGTGTAGTTCTGTTTTGATTTTACCTGAGACAAAAATATTTCACACATTTGACTGTAAGGATTACATACTTTTAAAAACTGGACACTTCGGTACTTGCTAGCTTCGTACAGTTTAATTTGATTGTGGTACTATTATACCTTCTTTCCACTTGCGATGACGAGGAACCCACTTTGAGACTAATAATACTTGGAGACGGTTTGAATGGGTAATGAAGAAAAACTTTAATATAAGTTTAACATAACAGCAAATGTACAACGTTGATCATCAGGTGATGATGACAAAACCTTGTCGAAACGTTGTACATTTGTTTTTATGTTAAACTTATATTAAAGTTTTTCTTCATTACCGATTCAAGTCGTCTCCAATATTAGTCACTAGTGTGACGTAAAGGAAGGAGGTTTTGTTTGAATTTTGCGATCCCAACTTTGGGACTGTTGGTGCGTTATAAAAATGACTATCAAACCCTACTGTTTGATCTGTCAAGCATAGTCCAAGAACTTTCAGTTAGCCTCTCCTCCTGTGTACTACTTTAAGATTAAGGATGGCTAGATTGGCTAACGTAAGTAGCTCGCGTGAGTCATTTAGCTTTGCGCGACATTCAACGAAACATACATATTGCTAGAAGATTATATAACGTAACTGAGCATGGAATTGATTGTTGGAATGTTCGGTTCCTATTATTTTCTAAAATAATCAAAGATTAGGGACCTTCAACTAGAGACGAGCTAGTGTCAATAAAAATATTTGAAAATAACATATTCTGTGTCTGAGTACTTTAATTCGCTCTAGTATTTTATATGAAAATAAAATTCCGTGCAAACAAAGTGATTCAGAAACAAAAATCTATGGATTGATAAGTCACTATTTATAGTTTCTGTTCCACTGAAATATTTTGAATTATTTGCAATAGATAGACCATATTTAGTTGAACCTTCATTTGGGTTAATTTGTCAAAGGATATAACTTACTATATAATTACTATAATTACTATATAATTACTATAATTATTGTAATTTCCCCGGAACTTCACTCTCAGGTAAACTTACATATTACTAGCAAACATTTTATTATATTATCATGAATATTCCATTAAAAAATTACATAAACAAGCAGTCCTTTGAGACTATAATTTTTATTGTGTATTTCATTGTATCTAATGTAGGAATATATATCAGGAGTTGTAGTTGAAATTTATATTATCTGTTTATCAAATACTTTAAATTGGCTTATATAAGACAACAGGTTGATTACAGTTAAGATGAGTATTTATTTTCAGCAGAAATTAAAGATACCAAGGTAATCACAAATGGAGAAAAAAACGCACCCCAAAACGGTTAAACGTTTTGAACTTGTTGTTAAACAAATGTTTAAACAACTCTATTTATTCGGTTAAACATTTTATCTGCTGAAAAATGTATTGGAGCATTGTGACAAGTAAGAGATTTCTTCTTTTTACAAATAGAGTAATTTAAGGAGACCTTTGTCTGTATTTCGGTTGAGTATCGATATCTTCTTTATTTGCCTCCTTTAAGGTTCTGCCTGTGAAACAAAGAATAATTGGATATTCAAAGATTCTACATATACTGTCGTAACATTCAAACTTTCAATGAACCATTAACAATAAAACGAATTATGGAGAGTCGATCTCTTGAAATAAAACACAGCAACACGGTTGTTAATTAATGAAGTATCAATCTCTACCTATGAAACATGTTGATCTCTTGAAATGAAACACAGCAACACGGTTGTTAATTAATGAAGTATCAATCTCGACCTATGAAACACAGCAACACGGTTATCATTTAATGAAGTATCAGTCTCGACCTATGAAACACAGCAACACGCATGTCAGTTAATGAAGTATCAATCTCGACCTATGAAACACAGCAACACGGTTATCAATTAATGAAGTATCAATCTCGACCTATGAAACACAGCAACACGGTTATCAATTAATGAAGTATCAATCTCGACCTATGAAACACAGCAGCACGCATGCCAATTAATGGAGTATTAATGTCAACCTGTGGAACACAGCAACATTCATGTTAATTAATGGAGTGATAATCTCAACTTGTAAAACACTATAACACGCATGTAAATTAATGGAGAGTTAATGGGTTTTTTAAGTACTTTTCAATCACCAATAAAGTAACCTAAAATTTGTTGTTTACAAATCGCCGATATAAGATTTGCCAGCCCAAGCTGTGCTGATAAGCCTTCACTAAGCGAAACTGCAGCCCACAGCAGAGAGTACGGTCAATCAAAGAAAACTTTAGGGCTCTACGTCACAGATTCTCCTTTCACCTTTGGTGAAATGGAAAAGAAATCTGTAAAATATATATGTAATGGAGAGTTAATCTCAAACTGTGCAACACAGCAACACGCACGTAATCTAATGGAATGTTAATCTCGATCTACGAAACATAGCAGCACGCATGTCAAGTAATGGAGTATTAATCTCGACCTGTGGAATACAGCAACATGTATGTCAATTGATGGAGTATTGAGATTGACCTGTGAAACACAGCAAAACGCATTTCAATTAATGGAGTATTAAGGTTGACCCGTGAAATACAGTAACACGCATGTCAATTATTGGAGTATTAATCTCGTCCTATGAAACACAGCAACACGCATGCCAATTAATGGGGTGTTAAATTCGACCAGTCAAACACAGAAAGAAACATGTCAATTAATGGATAATTAATCTCGACCTATGAAGCTCAGCAACACTTATGTAAATTAATGAAGTGTTAATGTCATATGTAAATATGTCATAACATTTTCCACGTTTACACATACTAGTCAGTGTCTCAGTGTATTTTCTGAACGTAAATATATAAGTAAATTTTAAAGATTAGTATTTTACTTAAATGACACGCAGTGTAACAGAGGAGTTTTTGCTGTAATCACACTAGTAACCCTACAGATCTCGTAGATTCAAATTCACTGATATTAAAGTTGTAGCTTACTTTCTGCAGTTATTACAAGTTAGTCACTTTTGGTAAAAGCATGTGAAACCATCACGTATAATTAAACAGATTCAGGTTTTATACCAACTTCAATAAAATACAATCAGATTAGTCTCTAACCAATAATTTTGGAGGTCGTATGTTTTGCATTTCATGAATGGAAAACATAAAATTCAACTATTGCATGCTGAATTAATCACACGATTGAATTCATCTTTTGCATGCTGAATTAATCACACGATTGAATTCAACTATTGCATGCTGAATTAATCACACAATTGAATTCAACCATTGCATGCTGAATTAATCACACGATTGAATTCAACTATTCCATGCTGAATTAATCACACGATTGAATTCAACTATTCCATGCTGAATTAATCACACGATTGAATTCAACTATTCCATGCTGAATTAATCACACGATTGCTTGCATGCAATGTATGTGATTAATATAATAGTATACTTGAAAGCAGCAATATACGACCAACAGGGTGTCAAGAAAGTGTGCCATCTATTCTGTTCTTTATTTAGAGCTTGTAATACCCAGTATCCACTAATATTTGTGCCTTATTCAACACATATCCGTTTAATAACAAGAGTATATTGAATTAAAAAAAAGTAATTAGTCGCTGCTTACATCATTATATAGTCCAATGTTGTCTACCATTCTCTGTTGTAACATTTCCCAAAGCCGAGCTTCAGCCAGGACCTTTCTACTGAGACGGTCCAACATGGTCTCAGTCTGGATAGCCAAAGGAAAATCTAACGATCTTTTCATTCCACAGCCAGTGAAAGCGTTACAAAATGGACGTTTCTGTGGTACTAGACCTGCATTACCACCTGAAACCTGAAAATTAAGAAGAATGTGAACAAAAACAAATCTGCAATAAAAGGCGATTTTAATGATTCTTGTTAGGCCTTAAAATTTACCGCGTTTTTCACATTACATCATTTACATCATTGTATTACATATTTTCTACTGCATACAGTTGGTGCATTTTGGTTTTGACGAAAGGCTCTCTGAATAACGGTTATGGTAAACAAAGGATAATACTATCTTTTCACTTATATAATAAAAATTCGTAAAGGATTACGATGATAAATTTGCTTATAAAACTCTATTTACTATCTACTATTCTACAAACAACCAGCTAGGTGTACAAACCTTTGAGCTAAATTTATTTTATCATCTCAACTCTTTCAGGAGTTATCTGCTCTTTATGTCACACCAACAAATCAAGTAAGCGTATTAACGTTTCAGCAGGACATACTGTATGCACTCACCTGGAGATACCTGCTCTCTACTACTACACCAACGGCCACTAGAAGAAGAATCATGGAGATCAGTTGAAAGCTGAGGACCATCTTGTTAGATCTGGAATGTGAAAGTAGATAGGCGAAAATTATGTTTTGTGTATTTAGTCAAACATGACACAAGTTCTATTCATTTCTGGGAAAGCGCTTAACTCCGAATCATAGAGTTTTCTATTAGCAAAGTATTGGGTAGAAAATAATTATAATAAAACAATTGGAAAGTATAGTACCATTCTCATTTCCTTGGACTCGTTTGAACTTATTTTAAATGTTGTTTTCTTGTCAACCAAAGAATATTATTGTGAAAAAATATTAAAGAGAAAAAATTGTTTCTTTATTTATGTGTATGGTACTTACAATTCTAGGAAGAAATGTTTTTCTTTGGAATAAAATAAATTTAATTGTTTGTTTAATTGTAATTAAGCACAAAGCTACACAATGGGCTATCTGTGCTCTGCCCACCACGGGTATCGAAACCCGGATTCTAGCTTTGTAAGTCCGCAGACATACCGCTGTGCCACTGGGGGGCAATAAATTTAATATAAAGAAAGGTGGCTCAAATACAAAAAACTTCTATGAAGGACTATTTTTTTTCAGTTCTTTTATATTTTTTAAATCAAAAACGAATTAAATATTTTTATCCGTGAAATGTAAGCAATTCTACAGTCTATAGTATAGCGACCGGATTATGAAAATCCTTTTTTACATTATCATAGTTTTCATGAACTTTCTAAATAAAATTCTCGTTCCGTTTTCAAACATCTCAAGATAACATGCGGTAATACGATAAACCCTGAACTCGCGAATGCTACATCCACCACCTGAAGTCAGTAATGGTGCTCGTGCACAAAAAAATGAATTATGTGTTACTGCGTGCAAAGTGTGACAGTAATGAGCGTGTCTAAAATGTGTTTTTAAAGCTCTGTGGTCATTTTAATAATGTAGTTAAGTAAACATCTAGATTAATGTAAAACAGGTTGCTAGATACATTATTAAACAATTGATCTTCACTGAAATTATTCATTATTGAGCAGCAGATAGTTGGGTTAAACACATTTAAACTTTTATCATTTCTGTTCTAAGCTTCGTCCATTTTTTTTATCTTACTCCCTAAAAAGCCTACTATGCTAAGATTACACGTTACCAAGTAATTCTACTTTGCTAAAGACACGTTACCAAATAATTCTATTTTGCTGAAGCTACACGTTACCAAGTAATCCTACTTTATTGAGTTACACATTACCAAGCAATTATACTATGGTGAGGTTTAGTGTAACAAAATTTGCTTCTTGCATATTCAGATACGTATACTATGCTGTTGCAAAACAGGGATAAATACTAATTAATGGACCTGCTTCGCACTGAGGGATGCATGTTGTATAAACACATGCAAATAACTTGTAAGCATTTTACAAAGTTAAACTGATAAATTGTTAGAAAGACTTGATCTTCACTTGGTGGCTGATCACTTGGCCATGGTTACCATATTTTAAAAAATAAATATGTCTTGTCTTAGAATCTTTTGCCTGATATTGAGATTCCTAAGTCAAGAATCCTTTTTCTTCTTTCATGAGCATATTCTACATTTATCTGAAGAATACAAAAACAGCGTTCCAGTCGAGTCACTACTTACAATTAATCCTTTTATTATTGATTTATGCTAATCTACTACTCTGTTAGGCTTACTACTGGATTGCAGGATTTTCTATCCTTCATTAGTCATTGTATACAAGAAGATCAAGTCTTTAAATATAGTGCTAAAAAGTATATGAATTTACCGAGTTTCAATCTTTTTTAGTTACTAGCTTAATATATATGAAAATCTGCTATTGCATTTGTTTTTCTATGTTTATATAGGACAACAGTGACCGAGAAAATATTGTATAGTCATAATATAACCTGAGAGAGAGCAGCGGTTGGCGCTGTGGGTAGAAAAAGTTATTGTTTCAGTAGCTTAATATATATCTGTTACTTACTTCACCTGTTTCAAAGTAAAGTCAATATTATGTTCTACAGCATGTAGGTGGTCTATTACGAGTTTACTTAAGCTAGGTGGGGTACTTCGCGGTAAAACACATGTTTTGATGTTTGTCACTGAGTGGTCGCCACAGCTCGGATTCAAAAATATAATACATTAGAAGAACCCCTGGTGAATCATGAGTTTAACGCTAGTGTTCCATTATGTCAGTCTTACCACATAAATAGGTTACACTTAAGATCAGAAAGCTTAGCCACTTCTAGCACATACTCACTTAATGGAAATTGTCGTGATGGAGAGACGTGGAAGGGGAGAGAGAGAGAGAGAGAAAGAAGAAGAATGGGAATAAAAAAAGGATTGAGTGGTTCATGGTATACATAAAAACGAGACTAAAATAGGAAAATATTTGCATTTGATAAAGAGGAGTTAGAAAAAAAAAAGATAGCTGAAAAACTAGTTTTATGTGAAAACCCATAGTTAGACAAAAAAGGTTAATAAAAGTAAAACATTATATGTTTATAATTATAGAAAGCCTGATTCAAAAAACATGTAAGATACTAAAACCACGTGCTTACACATGTGTAGATGACTTCAAATATTATTAACATATATTAAATTAAAAATACACCCTAATAGAAGCTGTCCCTTGCCACAAATATAGATCAAACACTTAGTATCTGGACTGATATTAGTGAGGTGTTTTTAATATTGTAATTATGACATATAAATTATCAGCCGTCTCTAATATATATATATATATATACTTCAAGCGAGTTCCTCGTCATCATGAGAAATTATACCCTGTGTGAAACAGAACTACAAATTACCCATCCTTTTACATCAGGAATACCTACGTAGTAAAATAAAATGATACTCGTTTTCATTAGGTTGGCATCACTTCAGAAAATAAATAAAGATAGAGAGTAAAAAGAGAATAAATGACATCTTTGACACTACAACATATTTTTCTCATAGAAAAAATAAAACGCTACATTGTTAGTTTCAAGTTGCATAAGCAAACTGTATTGATGTACAAAACTCAAACATTACTAGCTTTCAAGTTACATAAGTAAACTGTATTGGTAAACAAAAATAAAACACTAATTTGATAGTTTTCAAATTACATAAGAAAATTGTATTGATGTGCAAAAGTCAAACATTACTCATTTTCAAGTTACGTAAACAAACTGTATTGATTTACAAAATATAACATTATTTTATTTGTTTTCAAGTTACATAAATAAACTGTATCGGTGTACAAAAATAAAATATTACTTTGTTAAGAATTATTTAAGCAAATTGCATTGATGTACAAAAATAAAACATTAATATGTTAGTTTTCAACTTACATAAGCCAACTCTGTTGGTCTACTAAAATAAAACATTATTTTGTTAGTTTTCAGGTTATATAAGCAAATCCAGTGCAATGCAATCCTGCATTTCATTAAAACTATAAAACTTATCATCTGTTTGTTCATTCTTTTAACTTATCCTTTTGTATTTTGCTCAATATTTTATTCAAAGCTTTTTTGTTTTACCCATATTATATTATCCATAACATTCGGGTATATGTATATGTTTGTCTTTACCACAGTCCCTTGAATTATAGATATAAAAAAAACTGCTCATTTTAAAAATATCTAAAAAGCCACACACATTATCAAACATCTAGCTGGCGAAGAAAAAATATAAAACACCCTTTAAGAAAAATGATAATTCAGTAAATTACTAAGTTTACCAGCTTTCATTTTATTTGAATCAAAAATTATCATTAATGAAAGCTTTTACGTTTAGCTACGTAAGATATCACGAAATATATTTTGTGATTTAGATGTTTTAAGTTACAAATTACGTGCTTGTAACATTCTTTTCTGTTTCGCTCTCCGTTCATACATCGGCATGATCTGAAAAATGCTTTTAGGTATGAATGTATGTTTCTTAAAACTCATAAAACAAGCGCAAAACAGAGTTATAGAAGTAATAGCCGTATTTATCATTATCCAAATTAAAATTTTATTGTAATACAAACCGAGATGTTTTAAATTTACAAAACCTGCAAATCATCTTACCTTGAAGGACAGTTATGATGACTACAGAGATTCTATAAAATCTTGCTCTTATTGAGAAATTTATAGGAAGTATACTTGTGACGTAGTAACTCACATGGACCGCCTTCGCTCAAATCTGGAGAATGCTATAGGTGGAGATTTGAAAAGGTCACGAAAGTGTTTCATTTCCATATTTTTTTCTATGTTTTATCTCATAAATGTTTTGCTTTAGGCAATAATATATACATATATATATATGTATCGATTTTGGAAGTTACAAGCAGATACACTTGATATCAATAATGATAATTTGTGAGTGAAAGAAAAAAGAAAGTTTACTAATAATGCACTATTACAAATATAGCATGCTATAAAGTTATTGTTTGTTTTGAATTTCGCGCAAAGCTACACGATGGCTATCTGCGCT